CCCAGCAACACAGAAAGAAAAGTTCATACATCTCGAATTCACCGCTCTGTTCATTGCTGCAACTTTTCTTTACATGAGAAAATGACTGCAGGTCGTTGCCCTGCGAAAAACATGGACGGCATGGTGCTTTGATGTGGTCATGCTAGCTAATGCGGGCAAGATATACGCCACACTGTCTGATGCCTGCGCTTTCCAGATGGGAATAACTCTGACTTATCTAACAACTGACAAAAATTATCACCAGGAGTAACGTACATGTAACTTAACTGATTAACGAATAAACTGATAAATATTTGTATTTGGAAACGCATTCGTAACAAGACCGAAAACCAGGGCTTTTGTCATAAGAATTTTACATGTACAAAACAGTGTGTGGTGATCAAGTGATAGTAACTTTTAACATAGCACTTTTAAAAAAAATGACATCTGATATGCATCCGGCGCAAATCACGCCCCATTTGACGGATCACGGACATGTTGTGGGATAATTATTTTGATAATGAATGAATCACGAACGGCTGAAAACGGTGATGACAAATTTGCGTAGTTCTGAACGATGACTGTTACAGGTCACCTACCAGTGATGATGATGTAATCGAGATGACCCCAGAGGGCGCTGGTAATGCGTGACTTCAGTATCGGGATTTTGATGCACGCCTCGCCTTTGGCCATCGCGTTCTTGTCGCGGGTGTCAAACACATCCAATGAACAGTTTTGCGTCATTCGTTGGTCGGTCGAGTAGAAGAACGTATTCGAACTGTAGGAAAAGCCAACGGCGCGGACAGCCGTCGGTGAGCCAAGACGGTTGACCAATGTGCCGGTTTCACAGTCCCACAAACAACATGAGTTATCACCGCTTCCAGTCAACAGACAACTGGTGTCGAACGACACGTCGAGACACCAGACGACACCGTTGTGCCCCTTGAAACAAAAATACAATCAAAAATGCCACTTGGATACACAAGCGACACCACCTACGTTGTATGTGCCTAGACGTTCGCCGGTATCCGAATACCATACGGTAGGAAGCTTGTCCTTAGCCGACGAAAACAGTAGATCACCTTCTCTGTTGTACTTCACTTTCGTGATCGCTCGTTCATGACCCTTCAGCACCAGAGGACGCATTTTTCAAAAACGATGACAACCTGGGAAAAAACACTTAAAGCATACAAGTAAGCTCAGCAGCAATCGCGCAAGTTGACCTACCATTGAAAATATGCGCGAAGCATTTACCAGTCTGATTAATAGGAAACGAAACACAACGCGTTGAATAAGCAAACGCGGTGAAAATAATCATTCCTTTGTACCCTTTACATATCTCCAGAGCCGAAAGGTCTATTTCCTCTGCTATAGTAACGTTTCAGAAAGTTCAGGAGCACAACCAATATCCAATAATCAACAATTTCTAAAAATGGATAACTAAGCATAATCCTGTTCCACTGAAACAGAGCATTTAAACGCACTGTATCCGTCAAAATATCGCCAAAATAAATATTCGAATAATTCGCAATAGACATTATTCTCATCAAATACTTTCCATGCACTGTACTATGTAATTTTGTGTTACTCTGAAAATTTATCCTACGGCAAGATCGACCACGCATCTTCAACTGAGACACAAAATAAACTAAATGTAAATAAATTATAAATATGCGATAAAAAATGATCAACCGTGCCATGGCTAGAACATTACTAGACAAACACACATGACTTTGCGAACACCAACCTCGAAGATTCCGCCCCAGATAACAGACAACGATCAAAATGTCGTTGCATGACATGCATACTAATGATCCATCAGGACACTTGCAAAAGACCGCCATATGTGTTGGAGGGGCGAATTAATGAAACACGACAAAGCTGCCGTATGCTCTGAAGGCTAGCTTTTAGTGGAGTAAAACGATTAATAACATACAACGTGATACAAAATCTATCCATTACACTATCGAATACTATAATAATACATAGCACTATGAGTAACTGGTTACAGAAGCACAATAATACATATTAACACAGTATATGTATAGTTGCTTCATG